ACTTTTTGATGGTGACCATTCTGACTGGTGTGAGGTGATATCACACTTTAGTTTTGATTTGCATTTCTCTGATAATTAGCAGTGTTGAACATCTTTTCATGTGCCTGTTGGCCATGTGTGTCTTCTTTGGGAAAATGTCTGTTTAACTCTTCTCCCCATTTTTTGATTGGGTTGTTTGTTTCTTCAGGATCGAGTTGTATGAGCTGTTTATATATTTTGGATATTTAACCCCTGTCAGTCGCATCATTCACAAATATTTTCACAAATAGGTCATCTTTTCATTTTTTTGCTGTGCCCAGGCTTTTAAATTTTATTAGGTCACATTTGTTTATTTTTGCTTTTATTTCTTTTGCCTTCAGAGACTTACATAATAAAACATTGCTAGGATTTATGTCAGAGAATGTTTTGCCTATGTTCTCTTCTAGGAGATTTATGGTGTCCTGTCTTATATTTAAGTCTTTAACCCATTTTGAGTTTATCTGTATAGTGTGAGGGAGTGTTCTAACTTCATTGATTTACATGCTGCTGTCCAGTTTTCCCAACACCACTTGCTGAAGAGACTGTCCTTACTCCATTGTATATTCTTACCTCCTTTGTCAAAAATTAACTGACTCAAGGTGTGTGGGTTTATTTCTGGGCTCTCTATCCTGTTCCGTAGATCTGTATGTCTGTTTTTGCGCCAGTAACACACTGTTTTGATTAGTGTAGCTTTGTATAGTCTGAAATCTGGAAGTGTTTTACCTCCCCCTTTGTTCTTTTTCCTCAGTATTGCTTTGGCAATTCTGGGTCTTTGTGATTCCATATAAATTTTAGGGTTATTTGTTCTAGTTCCATGGAAAATGTCATGGGTATCTTGATAGGGATTACTTTAAATCTGTAGATTGTTTTCAGTAGTATGGCCACTTTAATAATATTAATTCTTCCAATCCAAGAGTATGAAATATCTTTCCGTTTCTTTGAATCATCCTCAGTTTCCTTTATCAGTGTTTTAGTTTTCAAAGTCTTTCACCTCTCTGGTTGAGTAGTTTATTCTTTTTTTTTTCCACTCAATTTTAAACAAGATTTTTTTTTACTATGTCTTTCTTATGTTTTGTTGTTAATGTAAATAAATGCAACTGATTTCTGTATATTAATCTTGTATCCTGCTACCCTGTTGAATTCATTTATTCTAAGAGTTTTTGTATGGCGACAGAGGCAATATCTAGGATTCTGGTTTTGGTGACTTTTGGATTGTGGTGGCACTCACAGAGATAGAGAATATAAGAAGAAAACAGATTGGGGGAAAGAATGAGTTCAGCTGTGCAGATACTTAAATATCACAATAGGATATCCAATTTTGGAAATTAGGAGATCCTGGAATAGGAATAATCTATCAGTTAATAGGTTTAATGGCAATCTTAAATGTCTGTATCCCCAAGGATCTGAATAGCCTAAGGATTCCATGGAACTAATACAGTAACATTTTGAGAATTGGCACATAAAAGCTCTGCTTCACGATCCCCCTTTCACACCTTCCTATTTCAGGTCACCAAGGGATGGTCTCTAGGAAGATCTGGTTTTCCTCTAGATACCAACCTTAAAAGATTAGGGATGTTTTCTTTAAAAAAAAAAAAAGTTCTTATTAGAACTCAGTCTTGCCCCTGCCTGCTTCACAGCTTCTACAGGAAAATAGGAGCTTTGAATGAGCTATTGAAAAATACCCATCACCTCCTCCCAGAGAATCCAGACTGAAAAATCAAATCTAAACAACTAGGGCTCTTTATTACTCTCCCTGGGGCAGGTGGACTGTTTACAAAGACAGCAGAGGATAAAACCATGGATACTATTTAGAAGTAAATGGAGCCATCAAGTTTATACCGTATAGTACAGGGAAATATATTCAATATCTTGTAGTAGTTCATGGTGGAAAAGAATATGAAAATGAATGTATGTATATTTATATATGACTGAAAAATTATGCTGTACACCAGAAATTAACACAACATTGTAAACTGACTATAACTCAATACAAAAAAATTTTCAAAAAAAAGAGGTAAATGGAGCCAACAAGAGATCTTAGGCACTGGAAGGAGATGTGAAGTATCCGCCCCCAGCCTCGGCTACAATGGGGCTTGTGCCGGCCTTCGCCTCACACATCCATCCCTGCCCGGCCTGAGAGTTGAGCTGACAGTTGAAGCCCCCTCCACCAACAGTGCTGGGACCGCACCTCCTCTCTTTTCCCGACTCCATGGAGGCAGTGGCCTTCCTGGTCTCCCAATTTTTGTTGTGTAAAAACCCCTTTTTTTCCCGGTGAATTTTACTCAAGTGTTGAGGATGCTCGTATATTATGTGTTGATTTTCATCACTTTCATCCTCAAAGAGGTAAATCAACGGGCACCTTCCTAAGACTGTGTACTGACTACACAACCAGTCTGTAACAGTATTTCAAATTTTCAGATTCACCATAAAGCAAGTTCTGATCCCCAGAAATGTTTATTTACAGGCCTCCTTCTACGTCAATGTCTATACCAATTGCTGGCGAGTCCGAATCTCTGGAAGAAGATAGAAAAGGTGGAGAGACTCTCAAAATTCATCTTGGGATAGCAGGTATGGATGTGTCACTTACTGGTTTTTCACTTTGTGAGAAACAGTACTACTTGATGTCCTAAACAATTCCCAAAGTGCCTCCCGGACTTAAAACTCTGTACATGACTTGAAATGCGCTGATAAGTATCAGCAGGGTTTTTTAACTATGCAATTTTTGTTGAAGCCAACGCTTCATTTTGTCTAAAGGCTATGTTGTGCTCTGACAGATTAAAAGCTAAATGCTGTGGTGATACCCCCCCACCCCGACCCCCACCACTGTATGCTTCTGCTCCCTACAGATGCCACAACAGGACATGGCAGGACTTTTCCCACCCAACCCACCCAGCAGCTTCCGCCAGTCACCTCTCAGGTGTTGCTTCTCTTCCATGAATCACACACATCTGTCCGGTTCCCAGACGTTAGTGCACACCAGAGTTGCCTTGTGGGCTTGGTAAACCATAGCTTGCTGATGCTGCAGCCGGAGTTTTTGATTAAGTAGATCTGGGTTGGGGCTTGAAAGCTACTTGACTGAGTTCCCAGGTGCTGCTGCTGCTGCTGGGCCTCGGGCCACACCTTGAGAGCCACTTCTCCAGGCAAAGTCCCAGCCGTAGACAGTGTGCTCCCCAAGTCAGCAGCAGGTGAGGGGATGTCAAGTTGGCTGGGGAAAAGGCACTTAGGGGCTTCCTTTTTCTCCCACACCACGTGACCATGGTTATTATTCGGAAGAATGAAAAGAAAGGTGCAGTGACGCAATTAACATTTTCCCCACTTTTCAGATTGCAAGGATATGGTTTCTTACAGATAATGAGGATTATGTACTGTCCTGATTTGGGATCAGTGAATCCTTTGTATACTTTTAACTTTTCCATTGGTGCCTTCTCTTCAGTGTTTGAATATTCTGAGTTCTTTCTCAGATTGGAAACCAAACACTCATTAGCCTACATCCTGCCCTATCTGCTGCTCTTCCATGGGCCCCGCCCTCTCTCTCTCTCTCTCACACTTTCTATAACCAAACTCATAGGAAGAATACACTGCCCATTTATTCCTAAACACACGCACACCCTGGTTTCTGCCTTCTGCCCTCTCTTGATCATGTCTCCAGGAACATGATTGTCAAGTCCTGTGGGCAGTTTTCATCTTTCTTGAATCTTTCTCTTCCGGTGGCTCCCACCTCTCCTTCTCTAGCTTCTGGGGGCTTCTTTATTTTCTTGCACCTTCCTCTTAAAATGCTGGTGCTCCGCAGGATTTGGGTCCCTCCTCACTCTCCCTGGGCAGTGTCATCTATACCTGGGACTTAGCTATCAAATAAATGTTAATGTGATCATGTAAACATGAGTTAATATTTTTTATGTACAAATTTGTGTTGCCTCCAGACTTCTTCCTAAACTCCAGGTACCTGTTTCCAAATGCTTTTTGGAAAGGTCCACTTCATGTCACAGACTGAAATCCATCTGGTTATCTTTTTTCTCAACTAAGCCTCTAAGCTCTTTGCAATCAGGTCTTAATTTGCTTTGTATCAACAGCATAAGGGCCAGAGACATGGTAGAAATTCAGTGACTAGTGAATGGGTGTCCTCAGGTTCCCCAAATTCCACACACCCTGCACGTCTTCCTGACTCTTCCTCCTGTATTTTCTACCTGTATTTCCCCCTTTACTTTCTGTGTGTCCTGGCACACTCTTCTAATTAGTAATTAAATACTTTCATTTGTCCCTGTCAGACGTCTCTCAGCTAGATTACTATGCAAATCTGCACTCCTTCACCCCCGTTCTTCCTGCTGCCAGAGTGATCTTTTCAAAATGTCCATCTGGTCCAGTCACACCCCTGCTTAAAGCCATTGAATTGTTTCCTTCCTTAAACTCATAGGAGAAGGTCCTTCATTAGCAGGCATCCACTCATCTGTCTTCCCTCCAGTTATCTGCACCACTACCTTATGGCAACTTGACCGAACTTAACTTTCCTACAGACAAGGCATGCTTTCCCCCACCTAGTCTAGCCAAGGAATCCCTATGCATCATTAAAAACCTGAATTAACCTCCTGTATGAGGTCTTTGCCCTGTTACCAGCTAGTGCTCGATGCACTTGTGCTTTTTTTTTTTTTTTTTTTTTCTCTTTCTTGTGGGACCCTGGCAGGCGGGAAAGCTTTTCTTGGGCATATGCCAGAAGGTAGCCAAGTTCCTGTGTGAGCAGTGAATGCTGGTCCCAGGACTTAAAGACTTTGTTCTCTCTGCCTCAGAAGCCATACTCCTGCCCGTCATCCAGAGAAAAGTCTGCACTCAGAGAGGCAGGCAGGAAATCAAGGAGGACAGAGGTGTGGGGACAGGATTGTGGGGATGGTGGTCCTTTGGAGCTCTTGGTAGCTTCTTTTTGGTGCTTGTATTTTTGCTACTTGGCAAAATGTATTAAAACTGCTTCAACTCTATAAACTGTGAAGCATATATTTTATCTTATTTATTTTGTATCCCTCTATCTCATACAGTATTGGCACATGACCTGGTGAGGGCTTAATAAATACTTACTGAATGAATAAATTTTGAAAACCAATAAACAAATGGATGAATTAAGATCTGGCCAACCCTAGGAGTTAAATATATAATTCTTGATAGGAACCAACTCTTGTGGTTGAGAATCTGGGTTTAGAACTAGTAGCTAATTGGGTTTAGAACCACCGTCAAGTAGGACAAGGGTTGTTCATTTGGGTTTGTATCTTACAGTCTGTCCAGAGATGAGAAGCCTTTTGGAGAAGGGCCAGGTGCTCCAGTAGCTCACGTGTTTGGCAGCATTCATCGGTCCATCTGTGTTCAATATCATTTATAGAACTGCTGCTATAATTGCTGCATTACGCAATTGGTTTTCTTTTGCCTCTAAGTGAAAAATAGTTCCGATTTCTAGATATTTCACCCTTGTGAAAATGGTCACAGTTCTGCATTCTGTGGAAGAAGCGTGGCTCTGGAAATCCATAATTGGCATCTGGATTATGCACATTATCAGGGAAATACTAGAAATGGCTTTGACACTGCTTTTTTTTGTACATTTACTTTGAGACTGAATACTGTAATCAATTTCTGAAGAACTTTATTCTCAGTGCTACATCACATGCTGTGTTGATTTAAACCAAATTATAGCTTAGCACCAGCAACACGAACACAAAAGTAACAAAGTACTCTTTAGTCTACTGCTTTGATGGATTTGGGAGAGCAAGATTTCCTTAGAGCCAAAAACCTGGCAATTTTATGAGAATTTTTAAGAACATCTCAGACTCATTTTTATTAGAGAAATGTTAAACATAAAAACTAAAATAGTTTTATTTACAATAAAGTGCTGTTAAATCTTACGAAAAGTACTATAATTCTTCAGTAAACTGAGGTATTTAAGTTCCTTGTATTTCTTGCAACACAGTTGTTTACATGGTACTGATTTAAAGAGATTTCTTTCTCTCTATAACTTGATAATGAATTTATCAATTTATAAAATCTGCAGAGTAGAAGACAAATTGACCATTGACTTACTGGCAGTAATAGTAACATTATGTTATGACTTACTGCAGATCTCTCAGCAAAGAGTGCCTCTGTTCCAGATGAGCTTGGTGCCTGTGGACACTCTAGAACGTCAAGCTATGCAAGCCAGCAGTCAAAAGTATCAGGTAGAGGCTAAAAGTAAAGTTGAATTGCTCTAAAGGGACTTGGAATTGCTATGGTGAGGGAGAGAATATTTGGTTGCAGTGTGTTTGATACTTCGTATTACATCCAGAGTGATTTTCTCTGACAGGGTATAGCTCATGCCACTCCCGGTCATCTAGTTTCTCTGAGCTCTGCCACAGGAGAAACACTTCCGTGGGAAGTACATCAACAGGGATCGAAAGTATTCTAGAGCCATGTGATGAAATTGAGCAAAAGATAGCTGAACCAAATCCTGATGCAGCTGACAAAGAAGATACAGCTTCAGAAACACCCAACAGGTAATCATTTTGGTCTCGGTTTAAATGGGGAAAAAAAAACACAAAACTTTGTTTTCATAACACAATTTTAAAAAGGAGGAAATTTTTAAAAATTATTTTCAAAGATGCCCAGTGAAACAAGATTCTGTAGAATCTCAGCTGAAGCGAGTTGATGACACCAGAGTGGATGCAGATGATGTTGTGGAGAAAATATTACAAAGTCAAGACTTCAGCCTAGATTCCAGTGCAGAAGGTGCGTAGATAACCATTAAGTACACATAGGTGTATGTGATCCAGGTCTGTATGCTCCGTGGGGTCAGCAGTTAAGAGGCAGTGCATCACGATCCTGTCTGTTGCATTTTTGTAAAATGGATTTCACACCTCTGAAAATCTGAAGATAACTATGGCTCATTTGTTAATGGATATTAAATTCGGAAAAGAATTAACTTTAGTTTAAAAATACCAACTTTAAAGAAAGCTTCTGTTGTGTTTTTTAATTTATGCATCAGTGTCTACCATGTTTGTATACCTTATGGTAGATGCCTGCACCTGCTTTGTCACAGCAAGGCTTGAGTACCTCAAGTCACTGTTGTAATTTGGAAGGTTGGGTAGTGATCTTGAAATGATAGTAAATAACACAGTCCCTTGTTCCCTCCTTAGCAATTTCACTGAAACTGAAAATTTACATGCCACCAAATTGAAAGGTATAATTATTCATGCTGATGTGAATAGAGAGCAGTTAACAATGGACTTAGTTTCATTATGTAACCGGTTGTAGAGAGAAATAATTAAACCCCACTTGAGGAAATTTGTAGGAACAGCTGCCTTCTTTGCTTGGCTTTAAGAAGGTTAATGAGACATAATTAGGGTATCTTGTAAATTGCCTGGTTTAAAACATGGATGTAGCTTGTTTTTTTAAGTTTTTTTATTTCTTTAATAAAGCTGTAATGTGAACTTACTATAATATGAATATTATTTGACAATAATCTTATAACTGTATATGTAACAAATCTTGTAAATGTGTATTGCAGAAGAAGGACTGAGGTTATTTGTGGGTCCTGGGGGAAGAGCAACCTTTGGCAGTCGTCATCTTCCAAACAGGTATGGAGCCCAAATAGTATCTTACTAAAATAAAGAATAGACTGACTTTTTCTTTTAAATCTTCATGCGTAGAAGATGAAAGTTGCAAAGTTTGTATTAGATTGAGGCTAGAAAGCACAGTAATTAGTAATTCCATGAGAATTACAGCTCCTAGTATAGCTCTTAGTTTTCCTTATTCTGAGTATGTTTGAAATTGTATTTTATAAGTTTATTTGTTGGTTTCCTTAGATGTATTTTTAGAATGTATTAGTAGAGGACCAGTGGAGCACTGGGCAAGATGCACTATAAGAAGAACATTTAGAAAAGAGTTCTTGGCCTGATATTTTAGAGCAAAGCAAAACTGTGTTGTGCATCAGTGGTCTTGTGTGTCATGAGCCGTCACACAGCCCCTCAGCAGCGGATGCTGCTACTGACCTTGCTTGTCGTCTTTTCCCCACCATACTGGAGTCTGACATGCATATTAAGAAAATAAGTTCAGAAAACCAATCCTCATTTTGCTAGTTATTCAGATTCAGAAGGAGAAAAGGCACCTGCCAAACTTAGCCATTCTGATTCCCGGCACTGCAGCCAGTGATAGTGAGCACAGGTGCTGAGGACACCTTAGAAATTCTGATCACTCCACTGCTTCCCCACAGCCCGATCCTGTGCACCCGGTGCTCAGTATTGCCGTGTAATATGTATGTTCCAGCACAACTACAGAGTAAGTCAGAGTTGCAGGGGGAGGGAGCCCCCTTGGTCCAAGACAGTTCTTTTACTCTCCAGTGTTACTCTCAAAGCCTAAAACAATGTATGTTTGTTTCTTCTACCAATACTTATTGTACTGAGTTCCTCCTGGGTGCCCGGCACATTGCAGGGCCCAAAGGGTACAAAGGAGGAAACACCTACATCAGCAACTACAATCAGATGTGACAGGTGGTAAGACAGGGAGCAGAAATCTCATCTACTTTTATCTGTTACGGATACTGAGGTTCTTCTAAGATGTTGTTTGTAAAAGGGATTCTGCTGCTAAAGAATATTTTTTAATATATTTCTTTTTTTTGCATTTAGTAAGTATTGTTTTGTGATTGATACTTTGTAAGAAGTACCAAAGGATTTATCGCGTGCTAGTTTGTAATTAAAAAGGAAAAGGAAAGGAAAGGAGAGGAGGGGAGAGGAAAGGAAAGGAAAGAAGGAAGGAAGGAAGGAGAGAGAGGGGGTGAGGGAGAAAGGGAATTGGAGGGAGGGGGGAGAGAGAGAGAAAGAAAGGAAAGGAAAGGAAAGAAAGAAAGAAAGAAAGGGAAAGAAAGAAAGAAAAACAAATTTAGCTCCATCAAAAAGGCACTGGGTGTTTCCAGGCTTATAGAAAACCTTTATCAGGGGAGTTCAGGTGTTCTGAGCACTCGCTGCCCTGGACTCCTCGCTGGGTGCCCTACAATAAACACCGCACTTTCCTTCACCACAAAAAAATAAAACAAAAACAAAAAAACCCTTTATCTTCCCAGACCAAGAAGCAATGGAGGGAACATGTGTGTTCATTGCATTGTAACACAAGGCCAGGGTACTTACTAGGAGCATCAACAATAGCAAAACACCCTTTCCATTGATGAGTCCATTACTTAAGTGTTTCTCAGTACTTTATTCACAAAGCTTGCAAATTTTAAGTCTTTCAGTATTCTCCGTATTTCATTGATAGAGGTCAATTAGTAGCCGGCATAATAGGGCAAAGGCTAAGTTCCTGTAACAGAGACCCAAAAATACAATAGCCATCCTGGAGGGACAGCTTTGCCCCAGAAGTGATTCGCTGATGCAGGTACCTCCATTTTTGTCCTTCACCATCCTCCTTACCTGTGTTGTCAAAATCGCTACTCGTCCAAGGCAAGCCATCTCCCTTTAAGCAAGAGAGGTGGAAGTTGGCATGTCTCCATTCACGTTCCCTGGGGCTAACTTAGTCACAAGGCCTCACCTATGTACAAAGGAGTTCAGGAAATGTGGTCTCTAGCCAAGCTGCCTGCACCTGGCTAAAACCACGAAGAAGGGGTGAGTAGATCTTGGGGGACAACCAGTGATCTGGCAAACCAAGCTCGTGAAGAAATAAATCCCTCTTCAAGGTCATTTTCCCTTTTCATCTGCATTAATGACAGATACGATTTACAGTACTGACCACTTATAAAGATATTTGCAGATTTATGAATAATTTTTGCACTTTCTAGTAAAGTACCTTAAGATACGACACTACTAATGCAACTAAAAATTATCATCCATTAACTCAGCGCAAGACCTAGACTGTCAGAGTCAATATATGCTCCTGGATGAGGCCGATTTGGGGATTTATATATAAACATATTTGCCACAATGTTGATAGGGTAAGAATTTGGAAACATTACTAGATTTTTGTGGGAATAAGTATGAGGTGATCAAGGACTAGACTAATCCCCATGTATCAATTATAAACACTAATATCTCAAGTACTTTCTATCTCTGGTGTCCTTAAACCTTGTAGATATCAAATCAAGTAAAAAATGCCTCATGCACTATCACTTTGAGGAGAAGATTAACTGGAACAATTTCAAACACTAGAGTTCAAATTTTGAAGGTTTTGTTGGTTTTTTCTCCCCCCTACTTTTAGGGTGGGGTCTGGAGCTTATGAACAAGTTGTGATCAAACGCTAGAAGTCAAGCTGGTTAGCTGAAGCTGCCCTGTGGGATTCAGATGTGGGCAGTCAAGCTATCAAGGCACTTTGTTCAAGTGCTTATAAGGAAATGAACCTATTTAAAAAAGGAAGCCTGTTCATCTATCAAGAGGAAAGCCAACACTGATTTCTTCTCCGAAGGTGCCCACCACTGTCCTTTCTCACCCACCAACAGGGACCACGGGAAGGTAGTACTGGGGCAGTGTGCCTCGTGCGCTTGGAGATACATGGCTTCTGCAGTCACTGCACAGAATAATGAAAAGCCTGCTTTTTCTCTCTAAACATCCAGTGGGAAAAAACAGCGCTGTACCTCTGAGTATAGTTTTAGTGTCAAAGTGTAAAACCTGTGATAAAAGTGCTCGACAGAATCGAGCTCTAATTAATTTTTTGTGTTGAGGACAGTAAGTGAAAATAATTTAAACCCTATAGATTCTGCCAAGAATAAGTATAATTCCTGTGAAGGGAATCTTCCATATTATACTACCTGCATTATTGTACTAAGGTCATTAACTCTTTTTGATGCAATAATTGATATAAAATGTGGGTGTTTCGTGCTTTGGGAAAATGTTATACCACAACTTAAACATGTGAAATGCTTAATTCTTAAAGTATCAGTCATAAGTTGAATAACAAGCGTGAGTTATTCAAGTTTGAGGTACGTGAGTGGGTATAATGCCGTTATTACGCCGTGTGCATCGTTACTTGTTAATTTTAGATGAGCTGCAGAACTCGCACTAGCACTATAGAAGAGGTTGGAGGTAAGTTTAAGATTTGGTGTGTTAGGGTTCCGTGAGACACCCTAGCATCAGAGCTCTGTTAACTAACAGAAGACTGTCTGCTGGTTTCAGAAGTCAGAATTTAGAACAAGAGGAAAATTGTGATATGATCAGAAACAGAGCTGCCTTTTCTACTGAAGTTCAGGCTTATCTGAAACTGAAAAGTATTCCAAGGAGGTAATGAATAAAAGACAGAGGACAGCCACTCAACATCACTGACACGGACTCGTGGTTTTCTGTTTTGGCCCCCTTGATCAGATACATGTTTTCTTCTGTACTATATCAGAAATTAGTTATTTTGAAGCGAGAATAGAATGTCACATGCATCAAATAAGCTTTTAAAATAAGAAAATCTGATCTGGATCCAGTTCAATAGCACAGCAGATAAACCTTAAGAGTTTTTCTAGTCTCACGTGACAGTTTCTGTGTGGAAAGACCTCAATTTTCTTGGAATCACTCAATCACTGAAGAAAAATGTTGGTTGTATAGAACTAGTAATTCCCAGTCCTTACTTTCCAAACCATGTCAAAGAAATTTAGTATGTTAGAATAGAATTACTTTAGTCTAATGGTTTCATGTTGGCAAAATAAGGGAAAATATATATTATTTTTTTAAGAAAATTTATTTTAATATCCAAATTTAGAAGCTTAAAAGTTTTTGAATAGTTCATGTTAGGATTTTTTTTTTTAATGTTTCAAGGATTGGGCATTCCAAATTAATTCAATACTACCTTTATAAATAGATTCTGAGGTTTTTTAAAAGAGATAACGCCCCATTTTAAAATGTTCTGAATGTTGAGAGAGAGGATTTTCTGAGTCACCAGTTATACTTTCTTATTTTTTAAGATTTGTTTTGAAAGAAAAAAATGGACCTTATCATTTTAGTCTAACCAAGGAAAATATTACTGTAAGTGGTAAACAACTTGCTGTCTGCAAATAAACAGGTGAACTGATCCATTCATTATATATTATGGGAAGGAAAAAGAATCAGAAAGTTTTTAATAGAGATATGAAGATATTGTTTAGAGAGATAGTTATTGACATGTCTTAAAAACATATTTTTCTATTTTCAAAGTATTATTCCTAAGCTATATTTTTTATTGGCACTTCTGCAAATGATTTTGCAGTTTTGAAAGTGATAATAAAAACTGGATTGTAAATTAGGTTCAGTGAGGTCATTCTTCAGAGACGTAAAAGATGCTGTGATTAGGGCACTGCACCATCTTCCTCATCCTTGGCTGCCCTTCGCCCAGGACCTTCATACAAGACTGGCTCTTGGTATTTAATATGATATAGAATTATTTTTAAAAAACAAAGTGTGGAGAGATTTTGAAAAGCATGAAAATCGTGCCTTTATGATTTGAGCAGCCACCAGATACATCTTGATTTACGTAGTAGTAAATGTTTCAGATTTTTTTACCAAGTAAAAATATTAGAAAGAAAAAAAAATGACAGTATCCTCTGTAGTCAGTGAAAGTCTGGATTCATTTTATTCTATTTTGTGTCCCGTCAGCAACTTTGTAATCACATTTCATTACAGTCCTTGAAAATATTTGTTAAAAGACCAAGTGTTCATCTTCCTTTCTAGTTTTTCTTCAAGTATGTACTGTTAATGTCTTAACCATGTAGCTGTTAAAAAAAAATCTGCTTATTAAATACCAAACCCACTTTGGGTTCCATTTTGAGGTTAGAAAATTGAATTTGAAAATTAAATCATAATAAATTTTTAATTTTTAAATATTAAATATTTTATTTTTTAATAGCAAAGTTGAATTTTAAATCATCCAGTCTTAGAAAATTTGCAGATGTATATAACATTTTCTTTTTCTAATCTTATCCTAGAGAAGAAGATTCATGGTATTTTAAAGCTATGTATTTGTGATCAGGTAATGAAGTGTCTTAAATACCTTGCTTGGGGAAAATACAGAGACCAGTCAGGAGCCCACATCTTGTGCTGGTGACCAAGACTAGAGAGGATGTGAAGGGTAGCAAAGGGCAGGGAAGGCCCTGGACCATCGGTTTACACTCTGATGGTCGACTCCCCTTTGCCATGGTGGTGCTGAAGGCTTCTGTAAATGGACAACTGATTCAGATTAGTACTTAAAATCTGAGAAAGTCTTGACCAAGAATCCTAAAGCCCACCATCCCATTCCAGCAAAATACTGTCAGAGTAATGATGTCCAAACTAACTTCTTTGCTTTTTTTTTTTTTAATGAAAACCATGAGCCACAGAGGTCCACCACTTAGCCCATTTGTTGCTAGAAGGGGAAAAAAAATCTCCTACTAGCTCCAGTCAAAACATATTCAGGTATTGATGAGTTTTAATAAGTTAAAACACCCAGAAGTATTTTCAGAATTTAAGATTTCTATGCTGACTAGACCCCTTTGCAAGTTCAAGCTGACAGTATTATTACATACTTCATTGACGCTCTCTGACGTGTTAGGCTTCCGTTATATATGATAATGCTCTGAAAGAGACTGGGCTTATGACAGGGTTGCATTTTATTTTAACAGATCTTTAACTGGGGCAGTTCAGAAAATATACTTGGTCAGTTCTCCTCGGTGGTACGTCATGTTAATATAGTCTAGTACTGCAGTTGAGATTGTGTTATGCTGTGACCCATATGTTGGCTTAGGTACTGTGCACAGTCTTAATAGCTGAGATGTTGTTAAAGAATATGAAGTCTAAAAATACAAAGGGTAAAATATGCCTATATTAACCTGTTTTAAGATTGCTTTGGAAATAAAGGCCTTATTCCTATATACATGACTTCTCATAAGATAAAATATACACATTATATTTTAAATGGTCGTGTGAGTGGTCCCTGGCTTCTCTCCATATGACAAAGCCGGCAAAATTTTTAATTTACATGGTCTGCATACTCCACATTTACACGTTTATGTCCATCTTATATATATATAACAATTCTCTTGCTAATATTCATTGACTAAATCCCATATACAGGAAGACATTTAGGGTATATTGAGTTCAATTTTTTTTTGGAAATACGTTTTATTTGGGGAATCACCTTCCTCTTACCCATTTTATTTGGTTCCCTGGAAGTTGATACAGTTGTGGATAATCATGTAAATGTTTATGAAAATTTTTTTATTGAAGTGATTCCATTAGTATTCAAATCTGTAATACTTGGAGAATGACCTTCATATTTAAGTATTTCTTTGTTTTAACTGCCCAACTATAAATCCAGGATATGTTTTCCTTTTTTTACCAAAACTAATTTTTTATTGTTAAATATCTGAGTAATGTAAAAGTGAATCTTACATATGTTCAATAAAAATCATATCTTAAAGTTTAGAAGAGTGTTTAGCCTTTAAAATTTCAGTTAAGATTCTATCAGAAATCTGTGAGATTTTTGCCAAGGAAAGAAAATGAAAGGAAAAAAACCAGTGTATAACTTCTCCCTTGGGGATTCCCTTTACCTGTGGCCAGGCAGTAGAGAAAGTATACAGACCTGAATGCCTCCAGTGAAACACATTTCTCTGAGGCCTGAGGCAGCCCCTGCAGTCCTGTGGGCATGCACTTGGGAGTAAGACAAACTTGAGTCTGAATTCAGATTCCCATCTGAACATGTTTTCTAATCTAGGATGGAGAAAATACCACTGACTCTTTTGGGTTGTGATGAAGAACACAGGAGGTGATGTTAAGAATATGCTGCATAGGAGGCACTCAGTTGATCAAGCCCACATTGGTCTTCGTGTAGCATCTACACGCATATCTTATTTCTAGAAGATGGTCAATAAATGTGCATTATGAAAGGTTAAGATCATGACTGAAATGATACTCAGGGTCACCACACCCTTGTACAGACTGTTTTGACTAGAACGTCCTCACAGAGAGGAAAAGCAATGCCAACACATTCCCTCTGCTGATATTCAGATTATAACAGCAATTTAAAGTTAATAAAGAACTATGGTTCAATGTGAGTTTGAACCCAGATCTCTCTATGTAGATTGTCATGACTTCCCTGAACAGTGCAGATTATGAAAGTTTACTGAGTTAAGAAGAAAGCATCCTACATGCTGGCAGAAGTGGGGTGGGGTATGGGTACTCGAGGGGAAACCCTCAAACCTCCTCCCCAGTACATAGAACCATACAGGATCATCTGTACTTTGTGCACACAGCAGAACCTGGCATGACCCTCTGATCTATCCCCTCAAACCTTTCTCTCTTTTTTTTTTAATATAGTTGATATACAATACTATTTAAGTTACAGATATACAACATAGTGATTCACAATTTTTAAAGCTTATACTCCATTTATAGTTATTATAAAATATTGGCTATATTCCCTGTGTTGTACAATATATCCTTGTACCTTATTTATTTCATACATAATAGTTTGTACATTTTAGTCCCCTACCCCTGTTATACCCCTCCGTCATTTCCTCTGCTCACTGGTAACCATTAGTTCTCTGTATTTGTAAATCTGTTTCCTTTTTTGTTATATTTACTAGTTTGTTTTATTTTTTCAATTCCACATATAGGTGCTTTCATACAGTATTTTTCTTGTTCTTGCTGACTTATTTCACTTAGCATAATACCCTCCAAGTCCATCCATGTTGTTGCAAATGGTAAATTTTCATTCTTTTTATGGCTGAGTAGTATTCCATCGTGTGTGTGTATCCCACATCTTCTTTATACATTCATCTGTTGACACTTAGGTTGTTTCCATTTCTTGGCAACTGTAAATAATGCTTCTATGAGTGTTGAGATGCATGTATCTTTTCAGATTAGTGGGTTTTTTTTTTTTCTTTCAGATACATACCCAGGAGTGGAATTGCTGGGTCATATGGTAGTTGCATTTTTAGTTTTTTGAGAAACTGCCATACTGTTTTCCACAGTGTCTGCACCAGTATGCATTCCCACCGACAGTGTAGGAGGGTTCCCTTTTCTCCACATCTTTGCCAACATTTGTTGTTTGTGTTCTTTTTGATGATGGCCATTCTGATAGTTGCAACGTAATACTTCATTCTGATTTTGATTTGCATTTCTCTAATAATTAGCAGTGTTGAGCATCTTTTCATGGGCTTGTTGGCCATCTGTATGTCTTCTTTGGAAAAATGTCTATTTTGGTCTTCTGCCCATTTTTTAATCAAGTTGTTTGGGGTTTTTTGGCTTTTTGTGGGTTTTTTGTTTTTGATGTTGAGTTGTATGAGCTGTTTATATATTTTGAATATTAACCCCTTATTGGTCATATCATTTGCAAATATTTTCTCCCATTCCATAGGTTGTCTTTTCATTTTGTTGATGATTTCCTTTGCTGTGCAAAAGCTCTTAAGTTTGGTTAGGTCCCATTTGTTTATTTTTGCTTTTACTTCTTTTGCCTTGGGAGACTTACCTAAGAAAGTATTGCTACAAATTGTATCAGAATGTTTTGCTCATGTTCTCTTCTAAGAGTTTTATGGTGTCATGTTTTATATTTAGGTCTTTAAACCTTTTTGAGTTTATTTTTGTATATGGTGTGAGGGAGTGTTCTAACTTCACTGATGGACATGTAACTGTCCAGCTTTCCCAGCACTGCCTGTTGAAGAGACTCCACCATATTTTCTTGCCTCTTTTGTTGTAACTGACCATAGATATGTGGGTTTGTTTCTGGGCTCTGTTCTGTTCCATTGATCTATGTTTCTGTTTTTGTGCTATACCACACTGTTTTGATTACTATGGCTTTGTTATATTGTCTCAAGTCAGGGAGCATGATTCTTCCAGCTCTGTTCTTTCTCAAGATTGTTTTGGCTATTCAGGGTCTTTTGTGTTTCCATACAAATTTTTAAATTACTTGTTCTAGTTCTGTGAAAAGTGCCCTTGGTATTTTGACAGGAATTGCCCTGGATCTATAGATTGCCTTGGATAGTGTGGTCATTTTAACAATATTAATTCTTCCAGTGCATCAGCACAGAATATCTTCCTATCTGTTTGTGACTGGCCCCCTCAGACCTTCTCACCCACATCTCAGGCATCGGGTCCCCAGACCCAGCCTTCTTATATGACTTACCTCATCCTCCCTCAACACCTAGTGTTTTCCTCTCCCTCTCTCCCTTCCTCCTTATAGTCTCCCCTTTCCTTCACCTTATTTTACCTTTTCACTCCTGTATATACATAGCACATAACTGGTTGCAGCACATGTAAGGAAACAAAACCTTTCTGTTTGCATGATACGAAATCTTTGGTGGAGTTAATCCACCCCACATTACACAAAATGCATCACAAATTTTAGGAAACATAAACAGAAAAGGCTTACATTTAGACATTTTCTGAGTCGGTGATCTCTATTCCCGAGGGACCCACATAATAAGGAAGTGTCAGAGACCATCCTGTATGAATTAAGACTTCATTCCTATGCAGTTACAGCTCAGCTGGGTTGAGATATCTCCTCAACCATTTAAGAAATTGACTCCACTGCTAGATCTTTAGACCATTTCAGCAGTGATCTTCCTGAGTATGCACTGCAAAAAGCTTTAAACCTCTAAAGAAAATGGGCGTAACTAGGATTTTTTTTTTCTGGGACTTATTTATATCAGGGAGTCCTCAAAGCAAATGACTGCATTTACTTTAAGTGGGAAAAGTGTGCCACCTTCTGGTACTGAACTTCAGTGATTCAGTTCAAATCTACCTCACCCACATGTGTCTGGCTCTTCTATCCCCTATATTCCATTGAATTAATACCAAAGGAAAAAAAAAAAACCTTTGTGTTTTTCAATACTAAATGTTAAAAATTTGAAATACATGCAAAAAGATTTTAAAGCATTGCATACTTTGCCTAAACAAGGTTAAAATTGTTTTCCTTTAGTATGGGATTAATGAAAGATTCTGTAAGTTTAGTGACATGATGATTCCTCCTGGAAAGGACTGGTTGGTCAGCATGATCAAGGGATTCTAGACAGAGGCACAAGTCTGGATAAAGACATAGCAATGCAAAAACACAGCCTACTCCATGAAAGCAGAGTGTCTGAGTCAAGGATGAGGTGGGGGAGTACGGAGTGATGCAGCGTTTCTGGGAAAGAACAGAATGATCAGAGTTTGACTAGTTCCAGGTAGGGTCCCATCATACAGGATGAAATGGAGTTGGCAGCGGTAACTGCACTGGTGCTGGCACAGAGCACATACAGTTTGACAGGAACTTAGAACCCAGCAGATAAATGGGCGGAGGCCACTGACAGGTAACTGCCAAAAGATGGGTGTATAACTAGCCTGCCGCTGGCTTCAAAAACTAGTTGCAGAAGAGGTGAAGTTTACTGTCCAAATTTGACTTTCAGCTCTTACCCACTGGTTTGCTAGATCTCACCAATACTCCTAAAGTTGCCTACTTCAGGATGTCCACAAAGGTACACACTGTACGCAGTGAAAAACCATGTTGGCCATAGTTAGCACAGTTAACACCTACATCCTCCATGAAGGAATAATCAAGGTTCCACCATGGCCGTGCTTGCAGTGCTCAGTCCTGACCTCCCGTCTGCAGCTGCTCAGCTCAGTCTCCACAGTGGCAGGTATAACGAGGTGATTTGGTTGGCACCCAAACTCTGGCTCTAGCTGAGGGAATTACTTTCACTTGGAATAATTTCCTGACAGAAATGAGAGCCCCCAGGGGCTGAGAGCATTACTTTAAAGAGAGCTGAACTGCCAGGTGTTCTGGAAACAGGAAGATTGGGAAGGAGAGGAGAGAGAAGGGTGGGGCGGTGAGAAGCTAAAGGAAGGATGCTAAGGCCGGTGCTGCCGTGAGGAGTGTCCTGTGAGTCTTGTGGAGACCCTGGAGGGGCGGGCAGAGTTTCACATATCAGTTGTGTGGCAGCTGCACTCGAAGGGAGTGCTGTGAGCTTCTAGGAAATCTCAGAAATCCTTAAAAGGGTTCTCGAATTGCCCAGACCATGGAAACAGGAATTACTGCCGAATCTTATTCAGATCTCAGGTGCCTGGGAAGTCCCAGCTAACACCTGGTAACACAGATTTCAGCCTACTCTGGTGGGCGGGCCATGGTGGAGGCAGTGGTGGTAACTTTCCAACAAAAATCTGCAGGTATAACTCTGCCTCCTACAGAGCCACATTTTTCATAGCTATACAGTGCAGTTTAATTCCTGGGACCAAAGTTTCTGTTCTTAAAGCCTCTATAGTTACAAACTGTGGCTCATTCAAGTGGTTTTCCTAGAAAAAGTAACAATCTTCCCTCCCAAAGGCCAGTAGTTCTTGCAAAACCGGAATTTATACTTACTTGGGAAGAAATAAGAAACCTTCAGTAATTTTCTAAGCAGTGAAATGGAAGGGTTGGGGGCAAACTGTTAAAGGATATTTAATTCCTCCTTTACATCTTTATGAGCAGTCTGGGTTTTTTAGCATGAACTTGCATTACTATTTTTCTTAAAAAGCATATGTAATCATTTCAAAAGAATGGAGTATAAATAGATGGAAGTGAATCTATAAAATATATTACTAATGATAAAGCTGCATCAAAAAATGTATAATACCATATATATGAAATAATTTGATGTCAGAAAATAAACATTTTGGGGGGAGGGTATAGCTCAGTTGGTAGAGTGCCTGCTTCACATGCATGAGGTCCTGGGTTCAATCCCCTGTACCTCCATTAAAATAAGTAAATAAATAAGAACCTAATTACCTCCCCCCAAAAGTAAAAAAGAAAAACTTGAACCAAAAAGACAAAATAAATAAAAAATTTTAAATATATTTAAAAAGAAAATAGGTATTTTATCCACTGGAATTCTATGAGGAATGGTGGGCTCTCTTTAAAAAAAGTCATGAATTTGAGAGACAGGGAGTTCCCCATGGTGTTAGAAGGCAGGTATTAAGGAAAAAGTTTAAAGTCTATAAAGTTTACTTGAAATTCTATTAATTAATTTTAACAGTATTCCTTTTGTAATTTAAAATTATTAGATTATAGTAAACAATCTGCAGTTTAATTGGTGGAGTTTTTTTGTTTTGTTTGAGGGGGGCTGAGGGAAAGGTAGCAACCGCCTTTCAAATCAACATTTCAAACAACTGAAGGTCAGGCTTTGCCGAAGTTGAGAAGTTGAAGATACGTGTGCTTCCCCTGCCACACAGCCTCTGCAACCAGACTTCTCAAACTAATGCTCTTAAAGCAGTGCTTCATAGGGGTCTTATGACAGCAGCAAATATGCCTTACCCAACATGGAAGGTGCAATATATAACCAGGAGGAGTTCAACAAGAAAAGATTTTTAATTATATAAAACATTGCCCCAGATACAAAGAGCCTACGAATATGCAGCCAACCAAATTGGAGGGCAGGGAGAGCAGAGAGGGCGTGGAAGGCCCTACTCCCACCAACGCCATGTGACTGAAATTTCAGATAGAGAAACATTTTCACATTTTTAAATTTCTGTCCCTTTTCTCAGGAACTTCCTGTCCACTTATTCTCCAAAACTCAAGAGTAGGAATGAAAAGCCATAGGCCTTCCAGCACTGCACCCTGGGGAGCTGGTTTCCAGTGAGCTGGGAGTGCCCAGGGAGTGGCAGTAAAGAGAGGAGGAGGCAGGTGTAACAGAGGCAGTGGCTGGAGGGGACCGTCCCTCATTTCAGCAGGTGACCACACTCCGTGGGTGTCTATGACACTTGAAATCTGGCGAGGGACTCCACAACTCATCCTGTGTACGTACATGAGTAGGGTTGCCAGCGTTCTGTTTTCTTTAAATCAGACACTTGATCCTTTGGTTCCAGAAAGACTTTTGTATGTAGAAGAATTACTGTGTTCACTTTCTAGGTCTGCAGGTATACATTACTTGAAAACTGGCTGCCTGGATATACTAATGAGCCTTATTATCCAAAATGGATATTGAAATTATCTAACATTCTTAAGATGAACAAAGCTACCTCAGACAGGCCAGACACTATACTCTAGTGCTTGCAAGGACGCTGTCATGGGGATAATGCTCCCTTTATACACATTATTCCCTTAGCAGACCTAACTTTGGCAGCATTTGTAGCAGTAAGAAATTAAGTCCAATTGCTTTTCTCCCTTTAGAAAGAGCTCTGTGCTGCTAAAGAGTGAGGGTATATGACTTTTTTTGTTTAGAACAAAGATCTGCAAACTATGGGCAAAATCTGGCAGCTGCCCTTTTTAGTAATAACTAGTGGAACACAGCCACATCCATTCTTCTGTTCAACTCGAGCACAGCAGAACAGTTGTAAAGTTAAAAGTTATCCTGTCCCTACAGGAGCATCTGCTGAGCCCTAGCTTGGAACCACTCAACATGCAAATCAAGGCCTGTATCAAGACAGACAGGTAAAGACAGAGGAAGAGGAATGTAGGTGCAGTAGTTACAGAGATGGGAGGGAGCCATGGCAGGGCGGGGTGGCCTCATCACCCATGGCAGTCATGAGCATTTAAAACGTTTCTGGGAGGCAATTAAGCCTTAACAAAGTTAATCAGTTAATTTTTGGAGCCTTGGCTAGAAAACCTTGGCTTGAACAGAACAGCAATGAGAAGGAAACCCTGGAAAGCTGCACAGGCCTAGAAAGGTGAGGACGGAGGGCCCTTCGGGCAGGGCAGGGGTGGAGGTGGGGGGTGCCAATCTCTAGACTGTATGCATTCAGGAGTAAAATCGGTTTAAGTCCACAGTGGGGGTCTGAAGGGCCATTTCGTGGTTAACGCTGCTTTTCCGGAATCCCTTTGTTCTACTCACCACCCTCCTCCCCAAATCCACTTTCCATCTATTTAATATTAACCCTTCAGAATTACAGCCCCTGAAGGGGGGAGGGTATAGCTCGAGTAGAGGGTAGGGTGCACGCTTAGTATGCCTGAGGTTGTGGGTTCAATCCCCAATGCCTCCTCTAAAAATAAATAAGTAAACCTAATTACCTCTCCTCACCAAAAAAAAGTGGGCAGGTCCCCACTCTGCCCAGCCACAGCCTGTTTCAGGACATTCTGATTGTGGCAAGTTGCCACCATGTCCTTTCTCCCACTTGTTCTTTAGCAGAAGCCCACCAAGTGGGCACATGGCCTCCCAGAGTAAATGACTGCACTTCCCAGCATCCCCTGCTGTAAGGTGTGGCCATGAGGCTTCCATCTGGCCAAGCAGCAGGAATAGTGCAGACAGCCGGCACATGCCCTCTGTCCCTTCCCTTTTCTTTTCCTTTATACTGGCTTGGAACGTGCAAGTGGCAGCTAAAGCTCAGACATCCCTCTTTGTCTCCGAGGTGCACACGAAGTACAGGGCCTGGCAAGATGGACGTGTGGGCCCATGGGGTTCCCATACCTGGTCGGCTCACCTCTGCACTCCCAAGCCTGAGGAAGAAA